ACACACACACACACACACACACACACACACACACACACACACACACAGTCTTCAGGAAACCAGCCTGAAAGGATATAACTTCCCACTGCAGGTAACTGTCTCCTGAGATTCAAGTAGGGGAAGAGGAGGGAATGGAATTATATATGCTTATATGCATGAATATCCAGCTTCATAGTCAGAGGGGGTATGTTAAAGGGTATGATCAAGAAAATTATAAGGTATTCAAATTCTTACGTACTCTGTTGGTCTCCCCAGCCCAAATAGGTCCAGTGACCTAAGAAAACCACAAGTGGTAGCAAAGAAGAAGAGTGATAGACAATTTTAGGACAAATTCAAAGAACATTTTCCATCCCACCAATTATTATATACCTTACCTTACTTGAGCCTACCCTACTTGTATTCCATTTATTTTTCATAACATGTAGAGGGCATATGCCTTCTACCAAGCAAAGTACTCTTGCTCTCTGCAATTCACTGTATAGAGAATAACAAAAAACTACTGCTTCCGGGGACTTCCCTGGCAGTCCAGTGGTTAAGACTCTGCACTTCCAATGCACGGGGCACGGGTTCGATCCCTGGTTTGGGGAACTAAGATTCCACATGGCACATAGTGCAGCCAAAAAATTAAAAAATAAATTATAAAAATAAAAACTACTGGGCTTCCCTGGTGGCGCAGTGGTTGGGAGTCCACCTGCCGATGCAGGGGATGCGGGTTCGTGCCCCGGTCTGGGAGGATCCCGCGTGCCGCGGAGCAGCTGGGCCCATGAGCCGTGGCCGCTGGGCCTGCGCGTCCGGAGCCTGTGCTTCGCAGCGGGAGAGGCCGCAGCGGTGAGAGGCCCGCGTACCGCAAAAACAAACAAAAACAAACAAACAAACAAAAAAAAACCCTACTGCTTCCATACTCTTTTAAACCTCCTTCTGGCTGAGGTCTCTCTTAGAACAACATCACTGAGGAGCTAATATACTGTTCCATATTCAAAATGAGAAAAATTTAATCAGCTTCTAAGAAACCTTTCCTTACCTCTATGTTCACCAAACCTGAATCTACTGCAATATATCTATGAGAAGCTCAGACCTGGTTACAGTGGGAAAGTGAGTGATTCCCTTACCCAAGAGTGATGACATCCAATTTTGCTGCTCTCTATTGAAAGTTAAAAGGCCAAAGAATGGGCTTCCCTGGTGGCGCAGTGGTTAAGATTCCGCCTGCTAATGCAGGAAACACACGTTCGAGCCCTGGTCCGGTAAGATCCCACATGCCACGGAGCAACTAAGCCTATGCACCACAACTATTGAGCCTGCGCTCTAGAGCCCGTGAGCCACAACTACTGAAGCCCACACACCTAGAGGCCGTGCTCCGCAACAAGAGAAACCACTGCAATGAGAAGCCCGCGCACCACAAGTAAAAGTAGCCCCTGCTCTCTGCAACCAGAGAAATCTTGTGCACAGCAACAAAGACCCAATGCAGCCAAAAATTAATTAATTAAAGAATCAAAAAATTAAATTAAATTTAAAAATTAAAAAAAAAAAGCCAGCGGGCTTCCCTGGTGGCGCAGTGGTTGAGAGTCTGCCTGCTAATGCAGGGAACACGGGTTCGAGTCCTGGTCTGGGAGGATCCCTCATGCCGCGGAGCAACTGGGCCCATGAGCCACAACTACTGAGCCTGCGCGTCTGGAGCCTGTGCTCCGCAACAAGAGAGGCCGCGATACTGAGAGGTTCGCGCACCGCGATGAAGAGTGGCCCCCGCTTGCCACAACTAGAGATAGCCCTCGCACAGAAACGAAGACCCAGCACAGCAAAAATAAATTAATTAATAAACTCCTACCCCCAACATCTTCTTAAAAAAAAAAAAAAAAGCCGCTTCCCTGGTGGCGCAGTTGTTGAGAGTCCGCCTGCCGATGCAGGGGACACGGGTTCGTGCCCTAGTCTGGGAAGATCCCATATGCCACAGAGTGGCTAGGCCCGTGAGCCATGGCCGCTGAGCCTGCGCGTCCGGAGCCTGTGCTCCGCAACGGGAGAGGCCACAACAGTGAGAGGCCCGCGTACCACAAAAAAAAAAAAAAAAAAAAAAGCCAAAGAATGGTATTAATCTCTAGTCTTCCAATATGTAATAAAACACTGTAGCGGGGACTTCCCTGGTGGCGCAGTGGTTAAGAATCCGCCTGCCAATGCAGCAGATACGGGTTCGAGCCCTGGTCCGGGAAGATCCCACATGTCGTGGAGCAACTAAGCCCATGCGCCACAACTACTGAGCTTGTGCTCTAGAGCCCGCAAGCCACAACTACTGAAGCTTGCGCACCTAGAGCCTGTGCTCTGCAACAAGAGAAGCCACCGCAATGAGAAGCCAGCACACCATAACAAAGAATAGCCCCTGCTCAATGCAACTAGAGAAAGCCCACATGCAGCAAAGACACAATGCAGCCAAAAAAACAAACAAAAAAAAAACCACTGTAGCCTATTGGGCGCGCAGAGATAGCCACTTTTTTCTGAATTGCCTATAAGTTTTTTAATAAAATCCATTAAAACACAGAGGCTTTGACAGAAGAAAACTGAAAACAATTCCTACTCATTTTTCAAGATTAAAAAATTCAATATTAATTAAATTTAAATCCTATCCCACAGCTGAACTGAATTTGAGGCAACTAATATGACAAGGAAATCACTAAAAATGGGCCTTTATCCCAAGAAACAAGGAATAATGTGGCTTCATAGTTAAGAATATGGATACAGAAATCAAAGCTAAATTCTTCTGGCTCTGCCATGTACTAGCTATAAGATCTTGAAAAGGTTATTATAGATGTTTCCTCATCTGTAATTTGAGAATGATAATAATATGAGTCTCATTGGTTTCTGTAAGGATTACAAGAGAAAATCCATGTAAAGTACTTAGCACAGGTCCCCAGAAAAGAGTAAGCAATTTGCATTTCTTGTTGTTTTGTCATGTTGCCAGATTTTTGCTTGCCTTATAGGTTACTAACAAATAGGTAGCAGGAAGATCAGCACACTCCAACAGTTGTAATGCCAGCTGAAGGATCAACAACGTCTGGGTTAAAAAGTCCTCAGAGTTCTGAGGGTGCAGCTACCTTAATTAAATGTTTGCCCTAAGACGCAAAATTCTGGAAGCACTGAATGATTCCAACACAGGCTGGTTTCACTACCTGAGTTAACTCCCAATCCTGGGGAAATGGGATTACAAATCAGTCACAGGCTGTGTAACTACACAGGGAGAGTTTTCTTCCTATGTACTCACCTTTTTCCTACCACCTATATCTCTTTCTTCTCATGTTAGTTTAGTGTGCAATTTTTAAATTTTTAATAATTTATTTAACTTTCTAACCATGGAGTGGAGGATAAAAATTCTCCTAGGCTATAGTGCAGTTGCCATAGCAAACATTAGAGGGTAATTACCTTGTTTCTTTTTAAAAGAAAACTGAAAAATAATCACATAGAACTTCAAAATACACCTATCAAGCTAGATGGCTTCAGGCAAGTGACAATGCTGCGTCTCACTGAAACTCTGGGCCCAAATAGTGCTCTCTTTGCATTACACAGCCTCATTCTTGAACACCCAACAGCACTGCATAGCAGTTTCTTGTACATAGTAGGTGTTCAATAAATATCTCTTGTATGAATAAATCAAACGAATAATCTGATCCCATCTACTGGGTCCATCCCTAAACCATGAAAATAACAACAGTTATGCTCTCTGACTAACTAGTTCCCTATTCTCACTTCAGCCTGGTACCATTGTAAGAGAAATAACACCAGTTTAATTAGGCCAAGTTTCCTTCCTCACCCCAAAAAAGCACTAAAACATATCAGTAGTCAGTAGAACAATTACTGTGGATAGTTAGGTTTTGCTAGGCATAAGAACCAAGAAAAGGAGGGCGGAAATGTTCCAGGAAAAGAAATTATACATTCAAAGGCCCATTCAGTGAACTGAAAATAGTTCCAGCGTTACCTGAATGAGAAGCTGAAGGGTTATGGAAGAACCTGATCAAAGTGAGTCTTAAGTACATGTATGTTTAGAAATTTAGTAATGTTAGGAGTTTGTAATTATCTGGAGGATAATACAGAGCTATCACAGCTTTTAAGCAGGGGAGAGACAGGATCAGATTTGTCATTTTAGAAAGAGAATGGTGGTACAGTGTGGCCACTGGTTGGTACAGTAGGTAGACTGAAGACGTGTCAGGGAGGCTAGTAAGAGGCTATTGCACTGACCTAATGATGGCTTGAACTAAGGAAGTAGCAGAGGGAGCAGAGAAAAGTAGATACATTCATAAGATACGTCGGAGGTAAAGTCAATACAGTTTGATAAGTAACTGAATGTGGAAAGTGAGGAAAATAAAGCCTAGATAATATTGCCCAGGTTTTTAGCTTGAGCTACTGGGTGGATATGACATCATTCATTAAAAGAAATACAAAAGAGGGGAAGGTTCAAAGCGGTGATGATGAATTTAATGTTAGATGTATTTATCGGCTTTGTGGTAACTATGAGACATCTCAAATGACTATATCTGGTAGACAGCTGGATATATGAGAAAAGAGATGTGGAGCAGAAGACTTGGATGTTTTCAGAACACAATCTCCCATGAGGACAGGAATTTTTCTTCTTTGTTCCTTGCTATATCCTTAGTGCCTAAACAGTGCCTGGTACAAAGCAGAATCTCAACAAATATTTGTAACTGAATAGATAAAAATTAAATAAAAACAATGAGGTAGAGAGTATAGGATAAGAAAAAGACTGTATATAGGAGAAGGGGGGAAGCTATAGAACAGCCACATTTAAAAAGCAGACAGACAAAAAAAAAAAAGAACTGACAATATAGTGTTGGAGAGGCTATGGAGCATCTAGAAATCTCATACGTGGCTGGCAAGAATGCAAAGTGGTAGGCCTCTTTGGAAAATAATCTGGGCATTTCTTATGAAGTTATACACACACCATACAATCCAGCAATCCCCTTCCTATATATTTACCCAAGAGAAATAAAAACATGTTCATACAAAATCCTATATACAAATGTTTACAGTTGCTTAATTCATATTCACTAAAAATTGGAAACAGAAGTATCCTTCAGCTGATGAATAGGTAAACAAACCATGGTACATCCATACAGTAGAGTACTACTCAGGAATAAAAAGGAATAAACTAGTGACACACGTAGATGAGTCCCAAATGCATTATGATAAGTGAAACAAGCCAGGCTCAAAGCTACATATTATATAATTCCACTTATATGACTTTCTGGAAAAGGCAAAACTTAGGGACAGAAAACA